TAGCTCTTTAGAGCAGCGTTCATTATAGTATTTATAGCACAATGGTTGAAGATTGGTTGCAAAGCAGGTCCAACTATGTTTAGAATGCATTTTTGCACCTTGTCTAAAAAAAAAACAGCATCATTTGAAGGTCTACTCCAGATATGGTAACTTTTTTGATACAAGGAAGGATTTGAGATTTATAGTGATGAAAAATAGAATCTAGAGTAAGAAAGTGGCGAGCACGATAAAGAGATACAACCTTAGCAGATGCTAATTTTGCAATGGATTTGATATATGGTTTCCGAGTAAGATCGGAAGTAATAGTTATTCTCAGAGAACGAAGGGTAGGTCACTCATCAAGTACCTTACCGTTCATAAATATTGGAAGATCTAGATTATTGCAATAACGATTAGCTGAAAAAAAAAAGAGTTTTATCTGAGTTAAAGTTCACCAGCCATTGAGAGCTCTATGCTGTAGTAAAAGTGAGATTTTTTTCAAGCTCAAATACTCCCTCCAAGCAATCAGAGAGTGTTGATTTCTTATCAAGACAAAATTAAATATTAGCATCATCATCGAACAATGATCAAAAAACAAGGAGTAACAATGATTGAAGTTACAGGAAATGAAGAAAAAAGCTGTCCAATGAGGGCAATTTTATACTACGATTGGTAAAGAAGGATTCAATAATCTTAAAGTCGTTACCTGATTTATTGTAAGAAATGAGCTTATGGAGTAGACCAGCGTGTTATATTTTATAAAAGGTTTTAGAAATGTTGAGAACAATAGCCTTAACCTCTCCACATCTATCTAATGCATGATGAAACCTACCAGTTATTACCGTTAACAAATCTGCAAAAGAACAAGAAAATCGAAAAGAGTCACTGACATTAGAACCAAGTCATTCAGAGTGATGAGTAATAAAGTCACCAACAACAACGATACTGGCTGAAGGATAAAGAAAACAGATTTTGTAGCGTCAAGAAGAGTACAGTCTTGAGATGTAGGAAAGCAATATAGAACAAAGAGAAAAGTGATAAAGTGAAGTTGTGCTAAACGAAAGCACATAAAAGAATAGTCTGTGGATTTAAAGTTAGTTTCCTGACAAACTGGTGAGTTTTTACAATTGTAAATGCCCTGGCCAAACATGTGACTATTGGAGTTTTTACGAATAAAAGGAAGATAACCATCAACTTCAAAATCATAAGATCGAAAGTTAAGACAGCTGAACTAAAACTAGTCTCACAAAGAGCAAGTAGGTCTGGTGAAATTTGCAAGAGATAGGACTCAACTGAAGAAAACTTACTTTTAAGACCACGAATATTAGTGAATGATAGATTTAGAGAACTTTGTGATGTCGATGGTTTTTTGTGTTTTCTAGTTTTTGATACTTTAGTCATTTTTTAAATTGATTAAAGAACTTCACTCAAAGCACAGATAGTACTCAGCATACTATCTTATTGTCCCAGCAATTGTTTAATTAATAAAAATAAACCCTAAGTTGTTACAAAGGATTCCAAATGCGGCCTCGATAATGCACACCATAAGTACAAACATGGACACCATCCATGTATAACATGGTATTGTTAATACTCTGATATTTTGAACTGTCGATGGAATCAGTCTGCCTGAGAACTACCACAACGTTTGGAAACCCAACTACCAGCCAGCTTCAGAACCATAAAACTGAGTTTTAGAACTGTACCTTCATTTGAAGAAATAAGAATGAGTTGCCTAGTCATAAAAACAGAGGTACAAGCAAAATACGTGCAATAAGACAAGAAGTATCATCATTCAACATCTTAAACTCGAAGCAATTGACTATAAATACACCTACGCCAGACTAATAGACGATCAACAGATAAAATCTATTTCCTCTTTAGTCTTTGCCTAGAAATCTTCTACAAGTCTGTAGCCGGATGTATTTAATGTCTGCCCAAGTTGAGTATTTTTATAAAGACACCATCTCTAACCATAACTCAACCAAGAGTGCCAAGGCAACGGTGTGCTGAACCAGGTTGTACTTGGTTACATATTACCAGTAGCAGGATAACCTGATAAACAAACTATCTTTAAACTGTGTGTGTGAAAAAACGAATTATATTTTACTTCATAATACTGGTCAATCAATAAACTTTGCATTAAAAAATCAAGAGTACCATATTATTACATAATAGTAAAACAGGGAAAATAAACAAAATTTCTTGATGTGCAAATAGATGAAAGTTTGTCATGGAGAAGTTTTTATTGGGCCAATTGAATCAAAAGTGTAATCTGCAATAGATATTTTACAAAAGTTTTTTCTATAAATAAAACTTTAGTCTTACTTACTACTTAGCTTTACTTTAGCCTTATTCATAGTGATCTCTTATGTATACATGTTGTACCTTTAACCACATTGTACCTTTAGTCACTCCACCCTATCGTCTTATTCTTACTTTGAAAAAACCTAAATTGCCATTTGAAATACTTTTCCATGGCAACTCTTCTTACCGTAAAAGATCATACTTGGGATAGATCATGTCAATCCACGAAAAATTATAATTTTTTGCTCTTAAATTGATATACTTGTGTATTTATTTTTGTGATATATACTTTGATATTAAACTTTTCAAAAATTGTTGTTTGATTAATGCACGATACTATTTACATTACCTAACATCTTTTTTTTATCATAAAAAGTTTGGATAATTATTTCTTACCGTAAATGAGGTAATTGAGACGATAATTGTTAAAGAATAGGACGTTATATCTTTTACCTGCAAAAACTGTGCTTTGGTTATTCACAAACTTTAAGAGGCCAAATTTATGAAATTTTTCATAAAGTTTATCCGGCGGCTGTAAAGCAATATTGCTTCTATTATTATAAAAACAGAGCATTGTAATGCATCATAATCATTGAATTGTAATGCAATAATTCCATTTCAGTGGAAAGTTCATTATTACTTTCTTAACAGTCCTTTGAAAGTTTCAAACTTAGAGTGAAATTATACAAAATTTTTGTCATATAAATTATATTACAAATTGATATTATATAAAACAAATATTTTAAAAACAAGTTTCGTATAATTTCGCTTATTATAATTGAGTTCACGGTTTCGATTAATAAAAAAAATTATGTATTTATTATATCGTGTAACAAAAATGTTAATTTTTATTTACAAATGAGGATTAATAATATATAACTTTTTTTTTCAACGGTCAAAGTTACAATGTACATTTTGTATCTTTGACCACTTGACTTCTTTTTCAAGACGCGGTAAAAAGATGTGAAAAAGTCTGCAATAAAATTTTGCGCAAAATATGAGTAAATAAAACAAACTTTGTATAGTTTAAATTTATTCAATAGACAACGCAAAAAGCGCCGAAGCAAAAAGTGCTCAGAGGTACAACAGGTTCCGCTATATATTGACTGTGATGGACAAATATTTTATTGCCTTTCGGGCCACCCATCGGCCTCAAAAACTTTGTTCTCCATCGTTGATTTTCACGCAAATGTTTTTCATCGTAAGTTGGTTCAATAAAGTTACATGTGGATTATTAAGTGCCTTGATTAAACTATTTATCTATTACACGTAAGTTGGTAGAGATAATTAAAGCGAACAGTTTGTCGTTCGCAGTTGTGGTCACAAACTTTCATGTTATAGCCAAAAACAGATTTTTCATTGTTGCTTAATGTCTCGTTTAGAATCCTCTAGACATGGAGTTGTTGACAATATTTTATCAATAACATCTTTACTAAGAATAAAGTTGTAATTATGTATGTTATAGCAATTGTATTTAGATGCTCTTATATGAAGTTTTTCTTTCTTGTATTAACATTTTAATATGTTTTAAAACAAAAAAATATCACAGAAAATTTTTTAAAAATTTCCAAATTTAGAGAAGAACTAAGATAGATTAAAGAATTAATTTATTAAGACAAAAATAAGGTAAATTTACAAGTTTTGGTGAGGTTTCAAGATCTTTTATCTACCATCGTTATATATAATGTGTATGTTATAATAACATGTTTGTTTTAAATGAGATATTATTTAGAGATAAATTAATTACTTATGTTATAAAAAATAGGTTTATACAGGTTTATAAAAAATAGGTTTATATAGGTTAATGTATTATGTCACATAAAATAATATTTATCTTTTAAAAAATTGCAAGATATATGCAAAATATACTTGTTAAAAAAATTTAAATTAGTGTATTATTTTGCATATATCTTGCATTATTTTTGAAGATAAATTTTAAAGATGTATTTATACTATATTTTGAAAAATTAAAAACTTCAAATTAACCTATAAGTATTTTATAATAATATTTGGTGGGTATGTATTTTATGCTACCCCTTTAGTTAGTACCTTACCATAAAATTTATTTTATTGAAAACCATACCCTAACCAAGCCCTTAAGGTCAGGGTTAGGGTTTGATTAGGGTATTGTTTTCATATTTATAAATTTGTATTACATAAGACCTTTTTATAGACCTACTAAAGGGAGATATTATTTAGAGATAAATTAATTACTTATGTTATAAAAAATAGGTTTATACAGGTTTATAAAAAATAGGTTTATATAGGTTAATGTATTATGTCACATAAAATAATATTTATCTTTTAAAAAATTGCAAGATATATGCAAAATATACTTGTTAAAAAAATTTAAATTAGTGTATATTTTGCATATATCTTGCATTATTTTTGAAGATAAATTTTAAAGATGTATTTATACTATATTTTGAAAAATTAAAAACTTCAAATTAACCTATAAGTATTTTATAATAATATTTGGTGGGTATGTATTTTATGCTACCCCTTTAGTTAGTACCTTACCATAAAATTTATTTTATTGAAAACCATACCCTAACCAAGCCCTTAAGGTCAGGGTTAGGGTTTGATTAGGGTATTGTTTTCATATTTATAAATTTGTATTACATAAGACCTTTTTATAGACCTACTAAAGGGAGGTGTCTGAAATATATGTCAAGCAAATATTTAATATAAGTAATACCTATTTTTGTTTTTTAAAGAAAGTTATAATGAGTAACGACGTATACACAGGTGAGTTTGAAAGTTCTAACTGGTCATCTCTACACAAAGAAAGTGATGAAACTTTGATTGATGATGGATCTCTTAATGAAGAAGCAGATGATCCAGTATGTATATGATCTATGTTTTTAAATTTATCTATTTTGAAAAAAATTAATTTTAAAGTGTTTTTATTTTTATTTCTTGAAAAAAATTTAGTTATTTAAAAAATTAAAGTTTGCAGAGTATATTATTACTGTGCAGGCTACAAATTATTATTTGTAAATATACTCAAATGCTAATAAAAAGAATAAGACCAAGTAAGAAAATGAGAAGCCTAATAAAGAGAGACCTTAACAGATAAAATGTGATGTTTTTTTATCAAGACTCGAATAATATGTTGCATTATCAGCCAAAAAACTTTAATTATAAGATAGCAAAGTTGATAAAGTGAAGAAATGCTAAGAAAACGCTTATAAAAGAATAGCAGGTAGAAACACAATTTTAAAACACATATGATAGTTAATACATAAATGTCCAAGTTGAATAAGTGACTTTTTTATTAACAAGAGTCAAGTGAGTTATTACTAATAATAGGTTAACAGTCATTCAAACTATGATTTTGAGACAGAACAGCCAAATTTCAATTTAAAATAGTGTTATAAATTTTTATAATGTATGTTCTAATACTGTGTATAGGAAATTGAAGCAATTAAAGCAAGAGTTAAAGAAATGGAGGAAGAAGCAGAAAAATTAAAAGAAATGCAAAAAGAAGCTGAAAGTAGTTTAATGAGTCCACAGCATGCAGGTATAAATCTTATCAGTACAAGAAACTTTTAGAAAATACTTTTATTTTATTCTAGATTAACTTATACAATTTAACAAATATAATTTACAGTACCTTCCTCTCTGCCTGGAGAAGACCAAGCTTCTATTGATTGTCGATCTGTATATGTTGGCAATGTATGTTATTTTACTTTTTTAGTAGTTTGTAATTTAAGAAAGGAAAATATGTTCAGGAAAAAGTTAATCTTCTTTTGTTTAGGTTGATTATCTTCTTTTGTTTAGGTTGATTACTCTGCAACTGCTTCTGAGTTAGAGCAACATTTCCATGGTTGTGGATCAGTAAACAGAGTAACTATATTATGTGATAAATTTAGTGGCCATCCAAAAGGGTATGGGTTGATTTTTTAGTTTTGTTTGTTTTTTATTAGTTAACTTTGTTTCCTTTATTAGCAAAATTTGTTTTGACATGCTGCATCCTGCCTCACTTTAAGCACTGTATATATACCGATGCTTGATTGTCTTTAATCTTTACCATAAAATGTAAAAATTAAGTTTATTTAAAAAATTAAACATTGAAGACCAGAAAACCAGAAAACTTAAAAAGATTTTTTTTAATTTAAGAAATGTCTGCCCAAACCAAAACCCTCAAGCGATGTAGCAATGCTCCTTGCATGTTCTACCTAACTCAGTCCATGTATGTATACACCTTGAGGTTGACAATTTATTGTCACTTTAAACTGTTGGAGGTCAGCATCAGATCACTATCTGCTATATCAGGCAGAACGAGTTGAATCAAGAGATAATATTGATTAAAAGTTCTTAACAAACAATTAAGCTTTGTCTTTAAGAGAGGTGACAAAATCTGAACCATATAAGAGAAGTGGAAAAACAGATTTGTCCTTTTTATAGATGCTATTTAAGATTTTACAGAAGTCAAGAGAGCTTTTACGTTAAAATTTTTTATGTTAAATACGAGATTTCGTGATCTGAGAATAGCGGGCTTTGATTTGAGACAAAACTTTCTTACAATGGTTTCTAGCAAATAGTAAACAGAGGTCTGTTTTCTGGAGAATTGTATTATTGATAGATATGGAAGAAATGGTTACAATTGAAAATTGCAGCAGCATAATGAGAGGAAATCCATGGAGAAAAGTGAGGCTTGACTTGAAATCGTCTAGAGGGATTAAAGGATTACATGGCAGCCTGAATCCAAGAAGTTATGTATAAAGTACATTTGTCAGCAGGGAGAAAGATTTCCAACCAAGATCCATCACAAAGAAAATCACGGAAAGAGTCCTTGTGAGCTTTAAGGTAGTTGTAAAAGGTTCGATAATAGGGGAATTCAGATGATGGAGAAGAATGAGATAATAGTTTTAGAGAGATCAAACTATGATCAGTAGCACCTAAGGGTGAATGTGGAGAAACTGAACACTGACTAGGATTAGAAACAAGACATAAGTCGAGTAGAGAAGGTAAACGATTCGGGTTGTCTGGAAAGCGAGTTGGAAAGTTGACTGTTTGAGTTAGAGATTGAGAAGGGCAAAAGTTGTGGGCCTTAATGCCTGTGTCATTAACACTAGAGCCAAGCCATTCAGTGTGATAAACATTAAAGTAACCTACAGTAAAGATATTGGCTCAAAGATAAAGAAAAAGGGTTTGGCAAATTTAATCAGAGATAACATCAAAAAATGTGCAGTCCTGAGATGCAGGAGAGTGATATAGAACAAAATGTAAGGCAATAGAGCTTCCATAAACTGTTTTATTGGAGTGTGGGCGAGAGCGAGAGTTAAAGCTCTCACTTTCTGCAATGGTCTATATATATATATATATATATATATATATATATATATATATATATATATATATATATATATATATATATATATATATATATATATATATATATATACACACACACACACACAGCCTTCTTAGGAGACGCATGCGATATCACACCTTACATGACCATGCATGCAATATTTATTTTGTTTAAAAAACTAACAAATCATAAACTGAAATGAGAAAGGAAATTAACTAATGATAAAATAAAATGCATAAAACTAGTATATTTTTTAAATTAGAAGCATCTTAGTTAATAGTTGCAACTTAATTAATTTAGAATTTAATAGTTTAAAGCTAATAATTAGATCCTAGATTGCATGTTGATGTAGTGCTAAGGTTTTGTTTATAATGTCATTTAGGATGCGCAGCTGTTTTATAGGGATTGGGTGATCTTTCAAATCCCACAAACAATTTTTTTTTGTTTTATTTTTTTTTTTGTAGACTAAAATATCAAAGTTTTAAGTATTTTAATAATAAAGTTTCAAAGTAATTGAGCTTTGATTAAATATCTTTATAATTTTGATTTTTTTTAATTCTTTGTAGTGAAACTTTTAAATTAAAATAAAATCATATATTTATTTTATGCTTGAATTTTTTCCTTGTTTATTTTTATACTTTATATTCGTTTTATCATTCGTTAAGATTTTTACTTTTTTAGTTTAGGTTTGTATTTTTTTTTTAATTTTTATTTCTCTCTTCAGTATATAATTTGTTTATTTTTAATTTTAGTTTTTTATATTTGTGTAGTCATTTAATTAGTCAGCAGATTATATTTGTTTAGTCATCATACATTTTTTTAGTCAGCACATTTTTTAAACTTAAAACATGCTAGGAGCTGTGTATATATATATATATATATATATATATATATATATATATATATATATATATATATATATATATATAGAAAAGCTCTCATAAAACAAACTTGGGGAGCTGTGCGAGTTGCTTCTTATTTAAAACGGCGCTCTTTTTTAGTTCTTTTTTTTTTTTTTGCAACAACTGTGCCTCTTAAAAAGCATTTCAGTATATTATGCAATTAATTTTTTTTTAATGACATTGTGTTTTTTATTTTATTTAAAATGATAATTATACTTTTATGAGATAAATTATACTTTTACAAGAGCCATAAATAGCTCTTGTAAACCATTTCAGAGGAGTGTAGGCAAGAGCGAGAGCTAAAGTGTGTGTGTGTGTGTGTGTGTATATATATATATATATATATATATATATATATATATATATATATATATATATATATATATATATATATATATATATATATATATATATATATATATATATATATATATGTATATATATATATATATATATTATATTATATCAGGGTATTAGCCAGGATTTTTTTTTACCGCGTTTCTGTGATATTGAGTATATTTATTGTTATTGTTATACTAAGTATTGGGAATTTTGTTGATATTGTCGTATATTAAAAAAAAAGGTCAATAAATTTTGGGAGTTTTAAACCCATTGAAAATTGTGCGTTATACATGGTGCCGTTGCGCAGGCCAACACCCTATGTGTGTGTGTGTGTGTGTGTATATATATATATATATATATATATATATATATATATATATATATATATATATATATATATATATATATATATATATATATATATATATATATATATATATATATATATAAATATGGCTTTTTGCATGTTTTAAGTTTAAAAAATGCGCTGATTAAACAAATGTTAACTTATGCTAAAATTAACTATAAACTGAAGAGATATATAATAGAAATAGAAAAAATATATATATTAAAGTTCTTTTATTAAAGGTTTGCATATGTTGAATTCGGCGATAAAGATAGTGTGGAAAATGCTGTTCAGCTTTCAGATTCTCTTTTTAAAGGACGACAAATTAAAGTAAATGTTTTTTTAAGTTTTTTATATTTTAAAATTATTTTAGTTAGGAAAAAATTAGTTATTTTCTATACAGGGCTTTTATTTTTGCAAAAAAAATCTTGTTGCAAAACTATTTTTTTATTTTTGAAACTAAAGTTATTTTAGATTAACACAAGTTATGTTAATCTAAAACAGCTTAGTGACACTGTTTTATACAATTTATAAAGTTAATAACATAAAATGAGTTTATAATAAAATAAGATAAAATATAATAGAATTGTTCTAGTTAATAAATTAAAATATTGTCTTCATAAAACTTTAAACTACACATTTGCGCAGTAGCATACTTTATCTAAAGTCCAAACAAGTGAGATCAAAAAAAAAAAAAAAAAAAACATGTTTTTTCTAGATGTTATTTAACTTCTTTAGATTTTTTTCTAGTTTATTGCTTCTTGATCTATCGTACTATTAAAAAAATACTTAATTTTTTCATATGAATGGTTTTTAAGTTGATGTTTTTATTCAATATTTTTGTTTAAATTGTTTTGTAATAAAAAGTGAGAGAAGAAAGCTTAGTTTAGTAAATTGAATTATATTTCTTCATTTTTCATTCTATTCGAGATAACTTGTTAAAATAATTTTCAGTTTATTATGTGTTAACAACATGTAAGATATAAATAAAAACATTTGTATGGCTAGTTTTTGAAGTCTTTGAGTATTTGTAGCATTTTGTATAGATTATAACTCATTTTTTTACTATTGTATAGTATGTTACCATGCCAGTTGCATCACAAAAACAGCTTTATTTGCTATATTTTGGCAGTATTGTTTTATTATCATTCTTTAGGGGTAAGTAGAAAAAATGTGTTTCTTCATCCTTCTTCATCTATTAGGCTGGCATAGATATACACCTGTTTTACAATCACATTACATTTACATGTAATGTTTTACATTACATTTACATCTGGCATAAATAAAAACCTGTTTTCTGTCTTGATGATTATGCTTGATCTTCTAGACTATTAGATATTAACTTTTGTCTTCTTGTAAGTGGCTAATCAACTCTTCCTGTTATCTCCTTAAGAAGGTACAGCTCTAAAACTCAGTTTAATTTTTCTGTGCTTGCTGGTAATTTGGCTTCTTAAACTCGGGTAGCTCTCAAAGAGGATTTCATCAAAAACTGCAAAATATCTGAGTATTAACAGAGTCATGTTGCGAATAGTTTGTGCTTTTAGTATGCATTTTTGAGGCCACATAAAAAACCCTTGGTTACAAATTTGGGTTGATTAGCAATGGTGATGCAACTGATTCACAATCATCTATGATCATATGATAATATATGTATGTATGTATGTGTGTGTATATATATATATATATATATATATATATATATATATATATATATATATATATATATATATATATATATATATATATATATATTTATTTATTTATTTATTAGGAGTGTTCAAACAAATAAAATTTTCAAAACGTGGCAAATGTAAAAAAAAAAATGTGATTACAAAAATATTGGCGTTTACCTTGTGCTCAAGTGGCAAAATACCACGAAAAATGCCCAAATTGATCCTAAATTATTTGACATTGAACGCAAGGTTAATCTCAATTTTTTTTCTAATGTTATCATAAAGGTCCAAATTTTTTATTTAGATTGTTGTGTATCCTGGTTTTTTCATAAGTGTTGTTTAAAATCGAAAAAGATTTCAAATTTATAATGCAAAAAAAAAAAAACTTTTTCTTTTTTTGTTGCATATTTGAGCCAAATTCTTTTTTTTGCGCATTTGCACTGAAATATTTTTTTGTGAAATTATTTTTTAATATAAACAAAAGACTAGGACACATAACAATCTAAAAAAATTTTATAACCATTATTTTTTTTTACATAATATTGAGGTTTACCTTGCACTCAAAGCCAAATAATTTAGGAACATTTTATGGAATTTTTTGGAGGATTCTTGCTGCTTGAGCACAAGGTAAATGTTAGTATTTACGATTTTTTTTTTTTTTGTAATCAAATTTTTTTTATATTTGCTTTAAATTTGGCTTCTTGTGTATTTGGTTTTTGAATATATATATATATATATATATATATATATATATATATATATATATATATATATATATATATATATATATATATATATATATATATATATACATATATATATATATATATACATATATATATATACATATATATATATATATATATATATATATATATATATATATATATATATATATATATATATATATATATATATATATATATACATACATATACATTTACATATACAGGCCTCGATGGGAAGCACTGAGTATAGATTCAGTATAATTCAAATAAAGTATATAATATTATATACTATATATGCTTATAGGAAAAACTAATTATTTTATTGTATAAAAATCCTCAAGAATTATTAAACAAAAAAAACGAACTATTATCTAAATGTCGCCATGAGAACAAGTTTTTGCTGGACAACCATAAACCAAAAGATTAGATTTTTTAACTCATTTTCTTTTGTGCAGATTTATTATTTTTTCACAAGAAAAAAAACTAATTTACACCTGATGATTGCATTTAGCATGAAAGTATAAATAGTTATCTTTTTTTTTATCTGCAAATGTCCTTGCATGCTTTTTTCTTGGTGTTTTGATTCTATAATCATTTCTGCACCATTAAAAAATAGTTTTAATCTTAAAAGTCATATGAAATTTGACCTAATAGCATTTTAGTAGAGGATAGTAAAAAAGGTCATCACTAACAACGCTACAGCAACCATTGAATGTTTGAGTTCTTTTTTTAAACTTTAAATTTTTTTTTATGAAAAAATAGAGTTTTCAGGACTTGTTCATCACAATAATTATTTTGAACCCAACTATAATACGCAATACTTTTATTGAACACAAATTTTTGTGAAAAGTTATAGAGAGTGAAGTATTGTGGTTTCAAGTGCTTGATTTAATGAATCTTAAAACCACAGTTTTTTTAACATTAACAAAGTTTGATAAATTTGTTATAGATGCTTGGGGTCTACCATCAAGTTTTTGGTAATGTTTAAAGTTTGAAGAATTTTAAGTTTAAAAAATTAAAATTTGAAGAATTTGAAGTTTGAAGAATTTTTAGTTTAAAAAATTAAAAAAAAAAAACTAAGTTTTTTTTTTTTTTAATTTTTTAATTTTTGTATTAAAACTTCTCGGTCTAGATTCAATCCTGTTCATAATATCTAGACTCATACACAAAACCAATCCCTCAATCAATGTATGTACTGAGATATTCATAGCTATTAATTATTTTTTCAAATGACGAGTAGCTCATATATATAACCACACAATAAAATATATTGTGCACTTTTATTTTTCAGAAAAAGAAAGAAAAAAAAAAGAATATACAATTCTTACTTATATTCTTTTAATACGTTTAATTTTATTTTTAGTTTTAAATTTTATAGTTATTGCTATATTATTTTTATAATTTTTCTAAAAAATCCGTTTAATTTTTCAAATTTTTTTTAAAATTATTTTAATGTTCAAGGTCTATGTTTGCACACTTGTGCGGTTTGGCGGTTTTTCCTTTATGTCATTTTTTAATTTAAATGAGAGAAGGAAAGAATTAAAGCAGTATTTTTTAACAACTGGTGCCCTCTGTCGTTAACCTTTTTCCAAATGAGGAATAAATTTTTTTATGTGGTACTACCACTAACATAATCTAAGGTTAATTAACTCCTGCCTTGCCCACAATTAAAGAAACTCGCCTAACCCATATTAGGCACGTATTGAATTAAATTTCATGTTACCTACTGGTAGTATTACCTGGATTTTTGTGTTTATTTACTATGTTTGCTATAATACTTATTTTATATTTACTTAATATTAGGTAACAGCTAAACGCACTAACGTACCAGGTATATCAACTACAAATCGAGGTTTTCGTGGAGGTCAAGGAAGAGGTCGAGGAAGAGGAGGATTTCGTGGAGGATATATGGGCGGATTCGCTGGCGGATTTACTCCTCGTGGAAGAGGCGCTTACAGGTAAAGAAATTGGTATATATACAGTTAAAGATGTAATTTTATATATATATATATATGTTTTTATTTATATTTATTTATCTAGATCGCGACGTGCACAATGGTTTTCGCCGTATTAAGGTACATATTTCTAAATGATACTTAAAGCGTTCTTACGTCATTTATTTTTTTTTTTTTTTTTTTTTTTTTTGCAGCATCTCAAAAATACAACATATTTATACTTATATATATTTTTTAACAAATTTTCTTCGCTTCTTATAGATGACTTCACATGCCAATAAAAAATAAAAAAATAAAAAAAAAAAGAACCAAGAAAAAAAAAATCAAAAGGAAAAAAAAAGTTAAAAGAAGTTTAAAAAAAAAAAAGAATAATGTGAAAGAAAATGTTTATATTTATTACCGGTCCCGTGGCATATAGAATAAAAGATTTTAGATTTTACGCAAGAGGGAATTATGCATGGGGGAAATAAGGAGGAGCTGCTTGTGTTGCATCTCCATTCAATTTGCTGATGTCGTGACACTGTAAAAGATGGCATTATACGAAAACCGTAAGCACCTTATGAATAGAAAGCGCAGACTGTTGTATAACATTTTTTAGATGTGTGATAAATTCTATCCGCCTTTGTGTCTTATTTCTAATATCTTCAACTTATTTTTTTTATTTATTTATTTGAATTCGAGTATATTTTTCAACGTTAATAATTATTTTAAAACATAGGTTATTGGTATTTTACCATAGCGTTTTTTATCCTTATATTATTATTATCAGTTTAGTTTTCCATTTATTTATAAATTTAGGTATATTCTTAAAGTTTAATCCAAAGTTACTGGATATTAAACAATGTTTTACTTTATCTCGTCTTTAACCATGTGATAACTTTGAAAAATAAAAGATGTCCCTTCCAAATTTTGAGGTTTGATTTGAAATCTGACGTTTTTAGTTTTATAGTTAATGAATTATTTTAAAATTTATTAATTTATAAATTGTTTTTATTACTTTTTTTAAGCTAATTTTTTATTCTTATAAAATGAAAATGTCAGATAAATCTGTAGTTTTCATGAAACAGAACAAAGAAAGCTTTAGCTTTGGGATCTCGTTACAATCTCAAATCTTCATGAGAAAGGAAACAAGAAAAAAAGGATAACTACTGCTCTAATTTTAGAGCTAAACTTTCATTCAATTCGGAATTAAGTTTCACATTAAAGTTGTACTACCTAATTAACTTACTGTCTGGAACATTATGGTAGTAATGAGAAATAGTTGCTAAGGGTAGGTTTATTTGAAAGTAGTGTATTATTATTATTTTCATTTCATTTTATATTTCGCTCTTAAAATTAATTACGGATGAGTTTTACATGGTAAATTTCAATAAATGAAATATTTTAAAAACAGACGGGGACTCAAATAAGATATGGATGATGCAATATCAGCTCAATCTTCTCACAGAGCTTTTCATCATCTCTTAAGCTTTAATAAAATAAAAAGTGAAGCGAGTTTAAAATAACACTGTTAAAACTTGTTTTATTGTCGATGTGAATGGGATATATAAATATATATTGCAAAATCAATCGGACTTATTCGTCTTTTGAACTATAAAATAACTTAATATTGCTTGCCCCTAAAACACTTCACATTATAGCACTCTTTTATTGAAAGTATTCAGGTTGCTTTGGTAATAATTTAGCGATTTCCGATCTTTCAAATGCTGCGACCACTTAATATTATTTGATATTGTAAGTTGCGGCGACCCTAACAATAAAACAAATAAAATTTCATATAATTAACTGCAATTTAATAGCTAAATTGTTGCAGCTTACTTATATTTTTTGACTTGTTTTTATTTATTCTACTCCATGGACACCACATTTTTTTGTTATGTATTATTTTATAATTGTTTTATCATAATTTGTCAACAAAATAAATTTTTTATAATATTTGCAAAGGAATATTATTTGTGAACAGCCGTGGCGCAGTGATTTGAGTTAACTGGCTCAGAACCCAGAGGTCTGAGGTTCGACGCCGGCTCTAGCCCAACAAGCGACATTGGTACGGAAGGAGGCGTGAACTTCTTGGTAAATGCTCTCCTGCGGTGCTTTGTGTAAAGACCTTAGGGGCTTCATGGAGCACCTAAAATAACTAAAAAAAAGTGTTGAAGGACTTGCAAAGGAATAAATGTTTAATATACAGGCTTTGTAAAATGTTTACATCTTGTAAAGCCTCAACTTTTTAGTTTCGATTTTATAATATACGTTGCACAATACACACTTGGAGTACCGTAAGATTGGGATGACTTTAGCCCAAGCGAAATTTTTGTTTAAAATTGATACCTCAAGGTATGCCGGTAATGTTTTGTGGAAAATTTATTATTTATTTAGTCTAACTTAGTTTACTTAACTCGAGTCTTGGTGATATTTTCTTAGCTGTGTAAACTTTTATATCGATAACTACCTGGTGAAGGTTTTTTACTGGAATATACACTGAATTAATTTTAAACCATTAGTGTTTGATTCAATCTTGTTTTGAAAGCTTTACAGTTTATTACTTTTTCGTAGTTGAGGTTAAAAAAAAATAGGTTGTCTTTGGCCCACTACATAGAGTGGCACTGGCCCGGGCTTAAGTCACCCCATGTTTATGAAAAAACTTTTTTTAGTGATCATTTATAGATATTACGGTAGCTACTATGTTGCAATGATAAATTTTGTAGTAGTAACGCAATAGAAAATCAGTATAACAGTTTATATTACAAAATCAGTTTAAAAGTATAGTGAAATTTGTTTAGTTCTTAGTTTAAATATTCCAAAAAATTAAAAGCCAAATCGTGGAAAAAGAAAATGTGTTAATTATACTTTAGAACAGTTAGACAATGCATTAAAAGATTTAAAGAATGGTTAATACTCAAAGACAAGCAGCTTTCAAATACGATATACCAAGTTCAACATTAAAAAATGAAATAAAACAGACATATCCTAAAAAGTATGGTGGTCAGCAAATATTTACATCAAAACATTTTTAAGACATGCATTAAAATCATCTGAATTTGGTTTTCCTGTTGATAAATATAATTTAAGATGCATAGTTTAAAGGGTATTTAGAAAAAAAAGGCGTCGTTATACCTTAGTTCAAAAATAATTTTCTAGGTGGCGATTAAATTCATTCTTTTTTAAAAAGAAATCCAGAACCTACAGTAAGATTTGCAAGCAAAATAAAGCGAAAGTGAGCAGAAATAGGAACGACTGTGATTAATAACTACTTTATAAATCTATTAAATGAAATAAGTAATATACCCAGTGCCGGTTCAGGGGGGGCTATAGCCCCGGGCCCCAAAATATTTTAAAGGACCTTTCATTTTTTTATTTTTTCAAGTCATTTTTAGATTCTGGCCCATAAAAAGGCCTCCAAAAACAAAAATAACCCCGGGCCCAAGAAGTCTTAATCCGCCACTGAATATACCCTCTGATGATATATGGAATTATGACAAAACCAATCTCGGTGATGATCCTGGTGAAAAAAAATATTAACAAAACGTGGATGTAAGTATCCTGAACGCATCATTAATTCTACAAAGACCTCATTCTCTGTAATGTTTTGTGGTAATGCTAATGGTGAATTGCTACCACCTTATGTTGTTTACAAAGCTGAGTCGTTATGGAATACATGGATGGGACATGGGCCACCAAAAGCACGTTATAACAGATCAAAAAGTGGTTGGTTTGACTCAACATATTTTGAGGACTGTTTTTTCTTTTTACTTCTTCCAAGACTTAAAAAGGCTCAAGGAAGAAATGTCATTATAGTTGATAACGTATCTTTACATTTGAGCATTTCAGTATTGGATGCATGTCAAAGCAATAACATAGGATTTTGGGATTGCCAGCACACTCTACACATCTCACGCAGCCATTAGATGTTGCGTACTTTAGACCTACGAAGATTAACTGGCGCAAAATATTATGTGAATGGAAGGAGAAAGGAAAAGAAAGGAGAGTTGCCTCTCCTCCTAAAGATAAATTTCCTAGACGTTTAAATACCAACTTAAATGAACAATGAAATGATAACCTTAGAGCTGGTTTTCACAAAATTGGAATTTTTCTATTAAACAAGTCTCAAGTGTTTTCACAACTACCATGTTGTAATGTAGGTTTAGACTCAACTACTGATTTAGTAAGCCAATCATTTTTAGATCATTTATGTAAGTCACTGGATGATCCCTCGGATGGTTTTAAAAAACCAAAGCGATTTAAAGTATGTGCTGCGCCAGGTAAAATCTTATGTTCAACAGATGCTTATGTTCAATCTTGTGTTTTAATGCAATCTTGTGTTTTAAAGCTTATGTTCAATTTTGTGTTTTAAATGAAAATAATAAACTAAATACAAATAATGTAGATACACCTACCAGTATTATAAATACAATTGAGGCCAACAACATTGACTTTGCTGGCCCAAGTACAAATACTGGAACTACTGAGACTTCTAATCTAATTTTTGCGGATGTAAGTTTAGTTGTAGACAGTCATATAGAATCTTTAGATCATTCAGCATTAGGCAAAAAGAACTTTCAAAATATTGATAAAACAAAAAAAGTTTGTAAAAAGAAAAAATTATTATCTTGTAGAGAATTGTTAAATGCAACGGAGAGTTGAATCCTGGACAGGTTTGTTTATTTATTTTAAATTATTTATATTTAGCTAATCAATTAGTAAACTTTATAACTAATTAATTTAATAACTAATATTATTTAATGTAATAACTACAGAATAATTGTAAAGAAACCTTCGATATTTCTTTTTTATGTAGTTAAAATAATTTCTATTATGAAAAAAAACGAACTTAACTGGAAATGGTCACTGCCAGCAGAGCAACCTTATTCCCCCAGTCTGAAATAGTCGATGAAGAACCAAATAAAATTTCGAAAAGAGGAATTTATTCAGTTCCAGAACTTTTTCACTAAATTTTTGAAAACTTCATTTTTGTCATTTTTGTTTACTTTATATCTAAACTGTTTTGTTTACTTGGTATACTTGTTTAGTCTGTACCTATATTTTATTTACTGTATACAAGAACTTTTTTACTAAATCTTTTTTTGTCACTTTATTTTTGTAAATTTATTTTCTTTGCCTAAATATTGTTGTTTTTATTGTTATTTTCTTTAGTCCCTTTTTACTGGGTTGTGCCAAAGTCACACAGGACGACTTTGGCCCACCATTTAAACCACCCAAAAGATGCTTTAGATAAATAATTTTTAAATGGGAGACAGGTAGTTCTAACTATCCTATCCATACCCTTCTAAAAGTACTTAGTGATTGAGGAAATAACTTTTGTAGTTTTCATGCAATAGACATTAAGGTGCAAAATGGGCCAAAGCCACCCAATCTTACGGTACTATAAACTTTATATATTTTGTGTGCCATATTTTGTGTTTAAAGCTATTGACTCTAAATCGAGAGGTCCGCGGTTAAGTGCCAGCTCTGGTCATGATTGCTTCATTGGTAAGGAAAGAAGCATAAACTTCTTTTTAATTTTTCCTTACTTCATTGGTAAGGAAAGAAGCATAAATTTTTTTCATGGTGCTCTCTTTTAAGACCATAAAGGGCTTCTAAGAGCACTTTAATAACCAGACAAA